TGATCAAAACCGAAAGTTTCTGTGATGACTGCCCTGTACTGTTCACCATGTAAGAATTTATTCACTATGTAAGAATTTGTTCACCATGTAAGAACTTGTTCGTTATGCTTCAGAAGATTGGAGACTGTTGAGAATTAGGCTTGGGGTTGATTAATGATTGTGTATTGAGTCCCCTATACAGAATTTTATTGTTGTTAACAACCATTTGATCAATAAATATGAGAGATGCCCTCTCAAAAAAAAAAAAATCAAACGAATAATCATATCTGACCTGATTGTTTATAGTTCATAATGCGTGACCAAAACCGAAAGTTTCTGTGGTGACTGCCCTTGTACTGTTCACCATGTAACTTATTCACTATGTAAGAACTTGTTCTCCATGTAAGAACTTGTTCGTTATGCTTCAGAAGATTGGAGACTGTTGAGAATTAGGCTTGGGGTGGATTAATGATTGTGCAATGAGTCCTCTATACAGAATTTTATTGTTGTTAACAACCATTTGATCAATAAATATGAGAGATGCCCTCTCAAAAAAATTAAAAAATTTAAAAATTTAAAAAAATTAAAAGAAATAAATAAAGAATAAAAAAAATAGAAACTATTATTCATCATAGTTGCAGTTCCTGGACTGAATGTGAAGGTAGAGCAGGAGACCACGCTCACCTCTTCTGATGGGCACACCAGGGCTGCAGCTGCACAGAGCAGCTCTCCCTGGAAACGACCTGAAGGCCAGCAGGATGGGAAAAGCCACACCAACATAGGCAGGAGCAGCAGAGAAGCAGTGGGCACCAAATCCCGCATGGCGACCCATAAACGAGAGGGACAGCATGGCCCAGGGGTCTGCCCTGCGAGGGCACAGGGCCCCACACCAGACATCCCTGCCCTAGGGACCTGCCCTGGAAAACAAGCCCCCAGACATCTGGCTTTGAAAATCAGCCGCTGATCTCTGGGGAGCCAGAGGGCCATAGGAAACCGAGCCAGGACCGGCGCCCCTCCAAAGAACGGACTCTGCAGCCCTGCGCCCCCAGTGCCTGCAGCAGCCACCACAGGGCATCCCCACCGCACCTGGCTTCGGCGGGCAAGGGCCTGCACCACGGGCCCCTCCACACAAGGCCAGTGCCTTCAAGACCAGGAGCCGCGGGTGGCCTGCCTGATCACTGGAACGGTCAAGGTGAGGGACAGAGGACTATGTTCCATGGAAAGAGCAGGACAAAACCTCAGGAAAAGGACCAGACAAAATGGAGATACGCAATCCACCTGGCAATGAGCTCAGTCATGGAAATACAGATGCGTCCCCAACCAGAGAACAGAGAGAATGAACTCTGGGAGAACCTCACGGAGACAGAAAATTCAACGGAACTGTCAGGAGTGGACGAGGCAACCCGAGCTGATGAGGGCATCGGGGGGTCTCGCTGGCAGTTTGGTGCAGGCACCGGCCCCGGCCCCTGGAGACCTGCACTGTCCACCCGGCTGGGGCCTCTTCTCACCCCTGCACTGCGGCCCTGCAGGGTGAAGCCTGCCACAGCGACAAGAGGCAAAGAATCCCGTGACGTTGACTTTTATTCCCCGAATTACTACAGATATTGAACAACTTTTCAAAGCATCAGCTGTTTGTTTTTATTAACTGCCCACCCCTGAGGCTTGCTCGGTTTTGTCTCAGAGAACGTCTTGCTGATTTTGTGTATTACAGCCTTTGTCTGACAAGTACAGGACAGACACACGTGTCCCTCTGCAGTCTGCGTTTTAATGCGGCTCATGGGGCTTCCTTTACCCATAGTGAACAAAGGGGAGAGCGGGGAGGGTACAGTGGGTGGACGTGGAGGGGGCTGAGTAATGACCCCAGATGTCCGCATCCTCAACCCCAGGGCCGGGAATGTTGCCTTACGTGGCAAAGTGGACTTGGCAGACGCGACCAATAACCTTGTGATGGGAGATGATCCAGGTGGGCCCATGTCACCACGGATGTCCAGTTAAGCAGGAGTGGAGGGCCATCTGATAGGGAGCAGAGAAGGTAGAGGCTGGAGGACAGGGCCACAGCCAGGGTGGCCAGGAGCCCCCAGAGCCGGGAGGGCAGAGGAGGGGCCTCCCCTAGAGCTCGGGGCAGCAGCCCTGCCCGCCAACACTCTGATTTTATTCCTGTGACACTCGCTTTGAGCTCAGACCGCCAGACTGTAAGAAAAGAAATCTGTTTTGCTTTCAGCCCCTAAGTATGTGGTCCCTGGTCACAATGGGACTGGAAGCTAAAAACCCTTTGAATGTGGCCTCTACCACCCGCTGGTTGTCACTGGGGACAAGTTGCTTCAGATCCTGAGTCTGTTGGCTGGCACCATCAGCCATCTTGGAGGCGGGGCTGCACCTGCCAGCCCCTCGGGGGCAGTGGTCAGGGCCCAGAACAGCGTCGCTCCCTGGCTGGGGACCAAGCGCAGGCTGGAGCAACACTTGGCGGCCTATCGCCAGAGCCCATGGGGCGGATTCTGGGAGAAAAACCTTTGTTCTCCAAGGCCCAGTGGGTGTGGGTGTGCCATGCTTTAGTGTCCGCACAGCAACAGTCCCTCTGAACGAGCCCACCTGGGTTCCTGAGCCAGGCCGGTCCTGGGGGCTGCTGCCAGCTGGTGAGGCCTGAGGGACACTAAGGGGCAGACTGAGCCCTCTTCCCGAGTGGCACCGCCTCCCTGCTCTCCACCCAACAAGCCTTCGGCACCTCTCTGTACCAGCCCCTGGAGCAGGTCCAGCTGCCCTGGCAGCGAAGGTCCAAGCAGCCCTTCCCTTGGGGAGGGAAGAGAAGTTCCAGGCCATGTGCCCAGAGGTCCAGGGGCCATGGCTTCCCCGGGAACCTGACACGCTTCACAACCAGTGGCTCAGAGGCTGGCATGTCCTCATCTCTCTGTACACAAAGTGGGGCTCCTGCAGCACCCCATCCTTGCCCCATCCACACAACATAGGGTGAGCAATAGGGAGCACAGCCTGGCCTTGAGCCTGCTGAGCGCCCTGTAGAGATCACCCTGCAGCCCAGCCAGCAGGTGCCAACCAGCACCCAGCTGCTCACAGAGGCAGATGCGAGACAGATCTGTGAGCTCTTCTACAAATTTAAGCTGAGAAGCCTCCTCAAGGCAACACAGGCAGACAATGGTTACTCTCACTTCTCCAATGAGGAAGGTGAGGCACAGAGAAGGTGAATCACCTGATAAAGGTCACACAGCAATTAATGGTAGAGCCAGAGTCCGAGCTTACAACCAGCACGTCCCAGCTTCTGTCAAACAGAGCTGCTCAGTGTCCAAGGGGAAGAGGAGGGATGCAGGGCAGTGGTTCCCCAGGGTTGGCTGGCATTCAGATCACTCATGTGGCTTGTGACAAAGCGGCCCGGGAGCTGGCACGGGCAGCATGAGGCACCAGGCTTGGGCACAGGATCTGAAGTCAGGTAGGGTGGCGGGGCCCACCCTGCGATCCCCTCCAAGGCTGCTCAGGCCACCTCTTGGTTCAGCCCTACTCACCTGACACAGAGCAGGTGCACCCCACAACCCTCCCTGCCAGGGTTTGGGCACTGGGCTCACAACCTCTGCCAGTCTTGGTTTCTCTGGGCATACAGGAAGCCCGGCACCTGCATCCTGGCATCTCCACCCACTTGCCAGGGGCAGGTGGCCAAGCTGGGGTTTCTTCCTTTGGCAAAGGGAATGGACTCTGCACCGGTGCAGGGGTAGCCTGGATGCGGACGGACCTGTGGCTGGGGCAGGGTGGTGCCACGCGAATCCCGGTGTGGGGACCAACACGGAGCGCCCGAGCACCTGGGCAAACGTTTCCAGCACATCCCCTCTCGTACCAGACACCAGGCCTTACGTGCGAGACCCGATCCGGAGACTAAGGCCACATGAAGTTTGCACAGGAATGTTTAATAGAAAGAACCACAAACCCTTCCAGGGCAGTGACATTCAAAGAGAGCTTTCAAGAAAATCCTAGGGTTGAGGGAAAGTGCCCACGGTAAGAACACTTCAAAGGGACCCCACCCAAGAGTGGGACTCAGACTTGTTGGACTCGGCACCAGCAGGGTGCACCGGCTGCTGGACGCCTGGGGGGAGCAGAGCCTGGGAGGCCCGGCCGTAGGGTATGCAGGCTGCGGGCCTGGCCGCTGGCTGTCCCCTCCTGAAGCAGAAGGCCCCTCCCTGTGCTGCACCCTGCGCCCACTAAGACAAATGCAATGTCCCGCGCCCAAAGGAGGCACTTTTGACAGGTCCAGCTCATTATGGCAGAGCAGGTGACGAAGGTGGACCTGTGGCTGATGTGATCTTCTCCATCCACCTCCTTCCATGCCCTTAGCAGAATGTGGTCTGGCCTGGGATGGCAGCCCAAGAGCGTTCACGCCAGTCGGGTCTGGGCAGCGCGGCAGCTGGGGCTCCAATACAGAGAAACACTGTCCTCACAGTTGGCAAGCGGACCAGGTCACCCTCCTGCCCTCAAACACCGAACAGAGGAAGCTGGTCATTTTGCTGGCACAGACCCTCAGAAGCCCCCGTGCCAAGGGGACAGAACAGCACACTGACGGAGACACCTGCCCAGGATGGGCTAGCTCGGTTTTACGGGTGAGGAAATGGAGGCTCCTGGGGCCCAGCCGCAGAGCCTCTCCTGCACTGGGGCCCCCCCGGGGGTCAGTCAGAAGACCCCGGGCAGCAGGCGGTAAGGCACGGCGGCGGTGTAGCGTGCCCAGTCACCGCCGTACTTGCTGGCACAGCGGTGCTCGTCCCGCAGGCAGCGGTGGGACAGCAGGATGGCCATGTAGATGATGTAGAAGTAGGGCAGCAGGTGGCCCTCGCTGCCGCAGGCCAGGCAGTACGCCAGGCTGCCCATCAGGTCGCCCGTGTAGTTGAGGTGGCGGGCCATGCCCCAGAAGCCCGACGCCAGCAGCTTGCTGTGGTGTTTCTGCCCATCTGCTGATGTGTACGTGCACTCGATGACCACAGGCTTCCTGCCCCAGATCAGGCAGCGCCCGTCCGTGCGGCGGAACAGGTCCTTCTGGTGGTTAGCTATCCGGAAGATGTAGTAGCCCAGCAGGCCCAGCAACAGGACACCCACGGCGTACGGGGCAGACAGTTGCACAGGGTGGTAGACCAGGTACAGACCCTGCAGGGCGAGGGCAGGGTCAGGGCAGCCACGTCCCGGCAGTGGGCAGGGGCTTGGGCCGTGGAGCGTGGCTCGTTCCAACCATGTCGGGCATCAGTTTCCTCTCCTGTAAACCAAAGCCCCTGCCTTGGGGGCTGCTGAGGGGGTCAACTGAGCAATATGCCCATTGGTATACCCACCTGGCTACCTACCTTCCTGTCACCTACGTCCACGTCATATACACATACACACTGACATGTCCTATATAGTATACATATGGAATATCTAATACTTAAAAAATAATTTGAGTATACTATTGTGCTGGTTCATTTTACATCACTTTAGGTAGGCCATGGTACCCAGATATTTGGTCAAATGCTAGTTGTTATGAAGGTCTGTTTTAGAGAAAGTTAACACGTAAATTGGTAAGACTTGGAGTAAAGCAGGTACTCACCATTACATGGGGGGGCCTCACCCAGTCAGTCGGATGAAAGACTGACCTCCCCAGAATGAGAGTGGATTCTGCAGGCAAACAGCCCTCAGACACCAGCTGCCCTGGAGATTTTAGGGTTGTCAGGCCCCACAATCCCAAGAGCCAATTGATCTCTCTGTGTGTATGTACATGTATATACATACATGCATACACACACACACGTATGCACTCGTACAGACATATACAGTCTATATGTCCTATTGATTTTATCTCTGGAGAACCCTAGTACAAATATAGTATGAAAGACATACATATATTTGTACTTAACATATATACAGAGACCAAAACAAGGCCTAATACATAATAAGATACACAGACAGACACACACACTCATAGGATCTATTACTGTTTTGCCGGCCTAGAAAATGGCTCACGGAAGCAGGGAAGCAGGAGCCCATGAGCAGCCAGGTGGAGAAGCAGTTCCAGACGGACCACACAGAGCACGTGGGGACCAGCAGTTTCCAACAGCCGCGGGTGGGACGCCAGGACTTCCGGCCCCCAGCCCAGGGCTGCTCCCCCCGACCGTGCCTGCTCCGCTGTGACTCCGGCCTTCCCACGGCCCTGGCTTCAGGAGGCCGTGCAGGGTATCAGCCAGCCGACAGCAGCCGCATCCTTAGCACCCTCATAGCCATTCACGCAGCGTGCATCCCGCGGCTCACCGTCTCCACACCGCAGAGGAGGGCCTGTGAAGGCGGGCGCCTCGGGCTGCCGGCCAGACCAGCCCTCCGGGGCGCATTCCTCTCTCCATCCTTGGGCCTCTTCACTCACTGACCAAGCACACAAGCAGGTGACGTCTGGCCAGGCCTTCCAAGCTGCCCACGGGAGCCTAGCACGCCACACAGATCAAAGCAGGGGTGCTCGTGGGAGCTGGGAGGGGTGTGGGGAACCTGAGGACGAGGCCCCGTCTGCCCCCCACGGCCCGCGTGGGACAGCTCTGTGCTGTGTGCAGCCCGTGACAGGCTGCAGGACCAAGCAGCGCAGCCCAATGCAGATCACCGCTCCAGCGCACCCTGCGGCTCTGCCCAGCCCTCATGTGGCAGAGCTAGGGGGACATCAAGTCCCCCACCCCACACCGCTGGTAGCCCTAAAGGAGTGAAAACTCAGGTCCCTCTGGCTCCCCAGGCCAGCGTTTGGACACCCCAACTCTGGGAAGCATGCCAAAGCCCCACAGAGGACCCTGGCCACCTCAGCCTGCCTCACTGTTCCTGGCACAGGACTCTGCCCTCAGCCACACCCCAGTCGCCCTCTCATCCCGAACCCTCTCGCTTTTGGACTTAGCACTTGCTATTTCACCTTTCTGGAATGTTCTGCTCTCAGCTGCCTGTGATCATCTCTGGATGCTTCTGCCAACCCCCAACTGCAGGCTGGGGCCTCCTCTACCAGCCCTCTCAGGGGTCCGCACCCTACTCCTGCCAGGAGCACCCCCCACACCAGGCTGCCAGCTTCATGATTCCACAGCTGTGAGCCCCAAGGGCCCGCCCATGTCTGCCTTGTCTGGAACCTCCAGCACATGCCAGAGCCACAGAGACCCTCACGAATATTTAGTAAATAAGGTGAAGAAAGAAGAAGGTCTCTCATCCTTTCAGTATTAAGATTTGAACTATGAATATAAATGCTCCGCCATCCCAGTTCAGCCAAATTCTTCCTTTGTGCCCATATTATCCTTTTCTCTAAGTGTTATGGCCTGAGCTGTCCCCCCTTAAATTCACATATTGGGGTCCTAAGACCTCAGAATGTGAGTGTGTTTGGAGTTGGAGTCCTTACAGAGGGGATTAAGGTAAATGAGGTCACAGGGTGGCCCTGATCCCAGGACTGTGTCCTCATAAGAACAGATCAGGACACGGACATGCACGGAGGGACGGAATGTGAGGACACGGAGAGGACGGCGTCCACATGCCCAGGGGAGAGGCTCGGGGGGAGCCAGCCCTGCCCACCCCAGGTCTCAGCCTTCTGGGCCAAGGCCTGGGGGACAGGAGGCCACCACAGAGGCCCGGGCACACCGACGCAGCCCACACCCTGTGGGGCCGCCCTGTGCCTCACCTGCAGCGTGTAGAGGTACGGCAGCCAGACGCAGTCCCCCCAGCCCAGGTACCACCCGAAGTGGTCGTGGCAGATGTCGATGGTCTTCAGGTACCAGGCTTCATTCCAGAAGAAGTCCAGCACGTAGATGGCCTGCGGTGGGGCACCCAGGAAACCACGTGAGCAGGAGGCGGGGGCATCTGGGGTGGCGCTGAGCTCCTTTGCCAACATGCTCCCTTGGCCGCTCCAGGGCGCCGGGCAGGACGGGCGGGGAGGGGAGTCCTTGTCCTCAGAGCCTCAGAGGGTCTCAGTCTGAGATGGCAAGGAGGTCCCACAGATGATGGCTGAAAGTGGGGCACCAGACATGCCCCCGGTGACCCCGAGCAGGGTCACTCGGGACGGAAGGGCTCTGGATGGCCCAGGGGAGGTGGCAGCGACACCAGGCTCCACGCCTGCATGGGGGCCCTGCGCCCACAGGGTGAGTGACTCGGTGTGCCCCGGCCTCTGCCCCTGCAGCACCGTGACTGCTGGGCCCTGTGGGTGGAAATGGGTCACTGCTCCTCATGCCCCCACCTCAAGGGGGTGTGGGGGGGGGGGTTGCCAGGCCCACAGTGCCCATGTACGAAAAACGCTGCCTTTAATTGTAAATGTGGCCAGGACAGCGGACACAGATGCCAGAACCACATCACCACGCCCACTGATGGCTCAGGCCGCTAACAGGTGCTCCCTCTCAGACGTGCGCGGGACGGGGCCGCTCCCCCGGGGAGGCGCTGGGGTAAGGCCCCTGGGGCAGCAACAGCTCTCGGGTTGTCCCGGCACTGGCACCCGGCGGAGCTCCCGTGCTGTGGCGCAGACAGGCTACCTGCAGGACGTTGACCAGGACCATGGAGTTGGTGACGTGGCCGTAGAGTTCCCGCTGCTTGGCTGCAAAGGACAGGTTGATGAGGGTCCAGGCGACAATCCCAGGGCGCCCATTGAAGAACAGCTTGAAGTCAAACCACTTCCCAATCCGAGGGTTAAACTCAATGCCCATCATGTAGTTGTAAAAGAAGTTGCCTGTGAATTTGCTTAGAAAGAGAAATAAAACATACATAAGGCATCTCATGACACAGTCCCCTCATCTCCCTGCATCCTCATTTCCTGCCATGGGACTGTCGGCTCCAGCTCAGCAGTGACGCCCTCAGAGAGAAGCCCTGGGGAGGCTCACCGCGTCCCGGGGGACAGGGAGGCCTGGCCACGCGCCCCCCGCCCTCCTCTAGGTCCCCGAGGCCTGGCACAGTGAGCTGTAGAACTGGCTCAGTGGGACAAAGATCCCATCCTGCAGCCAAGCACACAGCGCGAGGTGGACGCGGGGCATCTGGGCCTCCCGTGGGCAAGTGACCTTGCAAATTATGCCAAAGTAAAGAGAGCGCCATGCTCAGAGCCAGGAACCAGGCCCCAGGCCAACACCCGCCCCCGCTGACAAGGTTTTAATGCCTGTGGCCCTGGTTCCTGGCCCCTTAGCGCTCAGCTGAATGACCCATGTGCACCCTCGTTAGGTATAACTTGCTGCATACAGGGGTTTCTGTGCTAATTAGAAAACATTTTCATGTCCATTTCCCTCAGGATAGAAGAAAGAAGAAAATATACAAAGCCTACAGCAGCTGATATGATTATAAGGCAGGGAAACGACTACGAGGCCCAGAAGGGCAGCCTCACTGTTTCATCACCACACAGACTGTCCCCAAGAGCCACGCCAGTCACGGGAAGTGCACTGGGCTTTACTGGGGTCCCCAGACTGGACCGTAAGCAGCCCGAGAACAGCAGACTGGTGAAGCCCCACTGCGTGCACCTGTCCACAAGAAAAGCCCAGCGATTTCTGTTGATGGAGGGCACGAGGGATAAATGGAGGGATTGAGGGGGGCAGGGGTGAATGACGGGGGTGGAAGGGTGGGTGGGTGTGTGGATGGGTGGATGGATGGGTGGATTGGTGGGTGGGTGGATAGGTCAGGGGGTGGGTTGAAGAACTGGTTGAAGAACTGGCTGGCCAGTGGCTGGCTGACAACTGTCCAACCCAGGGCTTCCATGAGAATGGGCACCAATCAGCAGGGGTCTCCCTGGAAAGCTGTTACATTAGAGCCAATGGGATAACAAGACTCCTAAGATCCTTTCAGGCCACACTGCCTTTCCAGAGTAGAGGCAGGGGCTGCCTGTGTCCCTAGCCACAAGTTTCCTTCCCCGCCTCCTGCTCCCATGGCACCCTAGGGGTGACTCAGCCGAGGTCAGACATGCTACCGAGATGTTTAGAAAGGACGCTCCCAGAGACAAGCAAGCCCTACCAAGGTCCTTCTCAAGGATTCTGAATCCTCAGGCTTTACAACCTCCCACCTTCTGGTAATGCGGAAGGCAAGGGGTGGAAGCACCCACTTTCCACTGCAGGCTTGGCCTGCTACTGAGGAACATACCAGTCTTGGGCATTGGTGGGGAAGAAGTAGCCCTTGACCATGGCGAAGGTGGAAACGGCATAGCCGAGGATGTTGGCGCACCACAGCAGTGGTATCCAGTTGTCGAAGATGATGGTGGGCGAGAACCAGAACAGGAGGTGAGAGTTTGCAAACCACAGGAGGTGTGTGATGAGCCACGCTTGCAGGCCATTAATTTCATACTTGTTGACAACCCCTGTGCAGGGAAGATGCAGAGATCAGAGCGTCTTCCCTGCTGGAAGGCAGCTGGCTTAGGCCGTACTTGCTGCCAGGGCCTCAGCCGCTCAGGTGTAGGCCCCTAGGCCCCAGGCCTGAGCGCCCAGCAGCTGCTCCAATGCCAGCCCCAGGTTGAAACACCAGGCACACCCCTCACATTTAGGGATGAGGACGAGGACAAAGGTGTGGAGTCTCCATAACTGACCAGGCTGAGCGGCTGGCCTGCAGGGGCCGGGCTGGAGCAGGAGCAGAGGGAGATGCCCCTTGGGGCCCCCACGGGCAGCGGGCAGGACTTGGGGGGAGTCCACCTGCTGGGCTCCTCAGGGGTTCTCAGCAATCATGGTGCATGACTGGACCAGGCAACCATGAGGTCCCCTAAACAAAAGCTCCCCCACACCCGACACCACTGGTGGACGAGGGGTGTTCTCCGTGGAGAGCTGCTCCACTAGCTGGGCCGCCCTCAGGGCAAGGCGGCCGGCTGCCGGGCGATTCCCCAGCCAAGTGCGTGTCCCTCTGGTTTGTTGGTGAGCAGCCTGGGGCAGAAGCAGCACTGGGCAGGGGGGGCAAGCGGGTGAGTGAGGGGAGGTCCTGGGCTCAGGTTACCTGCAGGGGTCACGGCACCCTCTTGAACGCCACCCACGTAGCCTGGCAGAAACTTATGGCAGAGGTCGGGAAGCACCATGTACAAAAGCACCTGAAACACAGGTTTTAGCCCAGTGACCCGAGGCTTAGAGGCCCTGCTGTTACAACACAGCCTTCCTTGCTCTTAGTGAGATGACAGGCGTGACCATGAGCTGACTGGTCACTGGCCTGTTGTTCTTCCAGAAGTGCTTATGGCTCTCAGAGCTGTGGCTGCACCCCTCGGGGGAGCCCATGGGGGGGCACTGCCATCTAAAGCATGGGGGCATCTCCCTCCCACTGGCTCATTCGCTCCCCTCAGGACCCATGAGTCCTGCCCACATACCTTTAGACAGTGAGATGACTCAGACACCATACAATTCACCCCTGAAAGTGCACGACTTGGTGGCATTTAGTGCATTCAGGAGGGTGTGCAACCATCACTCCTGCCTGGACCCAGGGCGTCTCCATCTTCCCAAAGGGACCCCCATCCTAATCAGCAGTCTCTCCCTGTCCCACCCCCCAGTGCCTGGCAGCCACTAATCCACTCTGTCTCCACAAGTCTGCCTGTCCTGGGCATTCCACATAGTGGATCGCATGCCACGCGGCCTGTGCAGCTGGTTCCTCTTGCTCATCATGTCCTCGAGGTCCACCTGTGCTGTGGCCGGTGCCAGACCTTCTTCCTTCTTTACAGCTGAGTAATATTCTGCTGTGCAGATGGACCACGCTGTGGTTATCCCTTCATCCTCGGATGTTCTGCTTTCCGACAGTGGTGACTCCTGCTGCCACTAATCACTGTACCAAGGGACCAAGGGC